TATGAATGATCATAATCTAGTTTCAATTTAAGATACATAATTAATAATATTTAAAATTTTATTGTTTAAAAAACTTTAAAGAAATACAATACAAAGAAACAAATTGATTATTGAAGAAGGAAAAATGTGATCGATTCTTTTCTGCTCTCGTAAAACATTATTTATTGATGATATATATAGTGAATTTAAAGAAGTTTTTATATATGATAAATTCTTTGATTGTTCCTGTTCTTTATCATCTAAGTGGCATCAGTTTTGAACAGTAACAATAATATTCTTATGAAAAATGTTAATTTGTTAACTGAAATCACGTAAGTAGATATATGATATTGGTGAAGAGAATGCTTTAGCCTGTTATTTACAACCCTTTCGACATCCAGCGTACAGTTATGAAAATTAGTTCTATTCACTTGAAATTTTCACCATTCTAAAAAATTCCTTCCTTCCATCGTGGCAATTTCGTTCTGGAAGTCTTCCTTCATATATTGAGTGTTTCACGTTAAACGAACTGATACGATCTTTAGTGATAGAATCACATCAAAAGAATATGGTTTTGCATATACTAAGGACGATCTGATTTGCATCTGTTAGTAAAATAGTTCTATAATGAAGTGCAATATCAAACACATATATCATGAGAAAAATTGTTCTTCACTTGTCGCAAAGCCCAATCGATAAGACAAGTTTTAAAAAATACCACATTGATACGAAAACTTGTTACAATACTCAGGTGTGCTACCTTATCAAATTTTTGTTTTGTCTTAACCAAATTGGTTTCATAAGTTGAATCATTCATTAAGATTGAAGACATCATCTGCAACTGAAACAGCAATGAATATAAGTGGATAAAGGAACGAGCTAATATATGTCCATTCTTTCTTTTCTTCTCATGTGATAAATCAAGGTCAATCATGTAGACAAAAATGAATCCGTTCTCTATCATTAATCCAAGTACAGATGAAAAAATTTGTCAAGTAGAAGAAGGCACAAAAGTATTAATATATATATACATATACACATATAATTATTTTCGTTCTACGGGTAATTTTTATTGTTTCCAATATTGTAGAGTGATCCTGATAAAGCAATTGAAGCTGCTGAAAAAGGTTTCCAATATGATTCACCATGACGTAAGTTAGATCCTGCTGCATGTGCTCAGTTAATTCTTAAACTTGCTGATTTACTTTCACGTGTTGTGGATTATTTAGCAGTAAAAATGTTTTACTCTGTTTATTTGCATCCACATCATAAATGAATATTCATAGATTAGAAACACTGAATAGTGAAAAACTGCTACAAGAGAGTTATTGCGAGATTCTTGGAGCAGCTATTTGTCTTGATTATTGTAAGTCTTTCTGACATTCTCTTTTTTTTATTATCGATGATATTCACATGTTACAGATGCTGGATGGGCTGATAAAATCACTGGTGAAACACTTTCATCAGAATCAGGTATTTTTATTACCTATATTAGACATGAATCAGTTGGGATCTATGAACAAATCATTTTATGGTCAGTTCAAACATTCAATAAATGAAAATTCAAATTGTACTTTCTTCTTTCAGTGATTATTCAGTACGATATTCTTTCTTACATATGTATCATACAAAAGTATTGTTGCCATTATATTTTAGACTGTTATGTTGGCCTTGAAACTTGGATCAGAATTAGTTTGTGGTGACTTCATTACTTCTATTAATTTACACTTTCTTATATATTGTAATAACAAATAGTCAATGTAGTTATTCTCAAACCAGCTGAACAAACACCACTTACTGCACTCTTTTATCCTTCTGCCATCAAAGAAGTGTTATTCAACATCTATGAACAATCGAAGTTTATTCTAATACTAAATCAATAATCTAGGCTGGTTTTCCACTAGGTATTGTTAACAGTGTACCAGGTAGTACACATCACCAGAATGAAAACAACTCTTATAATGATATACATATGTAAGTCATGGACCTAACTGTGGTCATGGATGAAAAGATTAATAAAATAGCTTTTACAGGTTCGCTCGAGGCAAGATTAGTGTAGATGAAAGACAAAATAACAAAAGCACACGATATGTTGTTTTAGGATGGGAAAAAGATTCAAGAAACTGCAGGAAAAACTAATCTAGAGCGTGTTTCACTGGAACTTGATTAGTAAAATCATCTTTCTTACCTGTCTGCTTTGTTGCCTTTTTCATCACATATAGGTAGTAAATCATCATTTATCATTTGTAAAGATACTGATCGTATGTATTAAATAATTCTATTACTTTCATTTTCAATGTGCTTTCTAGTGACGAAAAAGATTTATAAGCGATAGAATTAATTTGTTTTTGCATGTTTTAGTCGATGTTCCTGCTCGAACTGCTCATAGAGCAGTTTTCACTCATGCAGGTCAAGTATGTTTTGCTGCATCAAGAATATTTGTTCATTCCACACTTCACGATGCCTTTGTATCTAAAAGTGTCGAATTAGCAAAGAAACGTATTGTTGGTGATCCATTTGATTCTACAACTGAACAAGGACCATAGGTATAAGAAAGCATTTCAAGCAAAGTGTCATAATCTAAACTATGGAAAAAACATACTGATTGAGGACTCAGAAAATAATTTGACAAGACAACAGATTAGCATTGATTTCTTTTGTGTATTCTATAAAACAGTCATACTCAATTAGAAACAATTCTTGAATGTATTCGGTCGGGTAAAAAAGTCGGTGATAAAGGTTATTTTACTCGATCTGCAATTTTTACTAATATAAAAGATGATATGAAAGTAGTTCGTGAAGAAGTTTGTCTTTTTTTCTCTTTTCTTCATTTTATTGAAATCATTTTCTTCTATTTAGAATATCTCTTGGTTTCAACTTATTTTCCCATTAGTCGATCCATTGGATATATCCAGCAACAGCATCGAAATTCTTATCTACATTGGAATCGGAATCATGGGTTAAATAATACAAATAGTTTAGGTTCGATGTAAGAAACTTAGATACAATGTCATACTTCTCTAACTTCTGACGGTGCTTGACTGCAAACGTAGATCTCTCTACTAAGACATTGAACCTCATATGGTATGAAGTGAAACTTAAGACAAAAAAAACAGACCATGCAAGTTGTACGCTACAGTCTATTCAGATGATTACCTTTTTATTTCTTTTTCTAATTTACTTTAGGAGTATTAGCAGAGGATCTCCTAGAATACCAGACAACATGACTGGAGTAAAACTTTTGATTTTGGATTTGACTATCTTAAAATAAAGGTCGTATATAAATATTACTAAATCCGAAATATTAACTCGATCTGATAATGATTCATTGAATTATGATTTATATCATGGTAACAGGCCTTATAGAGTTATAATGCAAAATGATCATTTTTTTTTTGGCACTTTTTAATATATTGTAAAATTATAGCATTATTCCACGAATTAATATAGTATTGATTGTTGTCAAAAGGAAGAGCATCTCTTTTTCTATCGACTTCACATAAGCATCATTTTATAGGAAAAAAAGGGTCAATACGATAATTTTTTAATGAAAATATGTATGGTTTTTCCTACCATGTTTTTTCATGTTTTTTTTTACGTTTTTTTAAAAGTATTTTGATCTTTGAATTAAAATATGGGGTTTCTCAGGAATTTTATGATATCAGAAGATAGCCCGTAATAAACTCTATCTTCTATGTGAAAATATCTAAGAAAAATTATGGCTGGCTCAATTAACTTTTTTCAACAAAGTTCATCACGACGTATTTTTTATGCTGATTATAACGTGTTTTCATTGTTTCTTGATGTTAATCATTTCTCATTCACGATTTAATCTATAAGTTCATTCAATAAGCATAACTACGTCGAGTAGAAAGTCAGAGCCATATTTCTAACGATACTCCTATGTATATAAATGTGGTCGACCAAGCGAGCCTCATAGTGCGTAAATTCTAAATTTCAAGCTCACTTCACGCCAGTCTATTTTTATACTTAACAGCACATAGTAGGATTCCATCAATTGCAACCATAGGCTATGAGCGCATTATGTGACTGTAAGTTAGTTAATTAATTAGAGAGAGTACTCAATTAATCAGCACTAATCAAGGTGACTAATAGTTAGTGTAAGCATAGTTTGCAGTTTACATCTGTAAAGTTTTGAGGGCTATTGGGGGCATTGTTGAATGCGTTAGGAAATATTAGGTTCATGAGTAATGTAAGAAACGTGTACTTGAATTTTGCTTTAGCAAGTAAGAGTAAGCTTTTTGGTTAGCTGAAGGTAATTGAGTCGCGTGATAGAATGTCTTCGATACACAAGTAGTGTATGCGGCGGAGAAAATGTTTGAGAATTTGGTTAAACTCTGAGCTCTTCTGTAATTAAAGACCGATTGATCATTAAGTGTGCAACAGACCCAGCTCATGCGAACAAAGCTGGCTGACTAGTTCTAGCTTAGCGAACTGAGCTGAATCTATGATACACCTACTTACGGTTATCGCTGCAGGATAGGGCTTAAGGATTTCAGGATAGTTCTATTTAATAGTCCTTGAGTACCTGTAGCACAGTGGGGAGTTTTCGCATAAGCAGGCGAACATACGATTTTTTTGTTCAGAAATGGCTTTCATTTGCTTAGAAACAACCATACTTCATTCAGAGAATCATCTTTAAGAAAACAGAAAGTTTTTAAGAAAAAAATTTACGAAAAAATCTGACTGGGGAGTAGTACCTCAGCCATAATTTTCCGAAAACAATTTGTTTTGAACAATATGTTGAGCTACATATCACTCGAAGTAGTGTAATGCGTCCATTCCGAATATCGCCATAATTTTTCTTCAAAGAGTAACATCAGTGCCAAAAATCGGATTTCGTACTATAAAATAGCTTAGGAAAGGTGTCATAAATTTGCGCCGCTATCATAAGTAGGTTACATATGTAAGAACGTCTGGTAAAAATGCGCGCTCGATTCGGCGTTTTCTCTTTGTAGTGCTTACAATATATGGAACGATATGTTTTCAGATAGGTTTTGGATCTTGAGATTCTTTGTCTTCTACTCTATCTTAAATTAAATTTGGATCACTTTTTTTTAAACATAAGGTCTGCCCATGAGGAAGCTTTTTTTGATATTGTTTGCTTGTGCAATATTGTTTCATATTGTTTAGTAGCTTGATTTTCTTTATTTATGCTGATTTCTGGGGCGCAAGCCTTGGCGAGCTCTTTTCTTGGGTTTTATAAAACTTTGAGAACCGCTATTTTTGGAAATGATAGATCACATACGCATGTGCCTACACAAATGGTTAGATTCTGGAAAAGAATATTTTCGCGCATGTCCGCCTGGCTCCCCACTGTAACAGCCATCAACGCTTGCTGATTCAGCGTTACTTCACCTGTGTATTGACCTTGTGTTGTTCTACTTATAAGTTGGATAAAACCCACTGATGATCGCTAACAAAATGCTCCGTTCTTCATTTTCTTATCAAATATCTATTATGCAAGTGAAGACTGCTATTCAAGTATGTTGTGTGCAAAGTCATCGACTTTCCGCGAAAGAAGAATAAAAGCATGTGCCCCAACCAACTTTTTTCTCTTTTTCTGCGATTAACTCCTGCGACACAAACGGCATACTGTATCATTGTTAAAAAACAAAACAGGGGTTCATGGTGTCTTGTCGAGCCTGTTTGAATACATAATATATCCATTGTAGGCTTCTTAACTAATTGGTGATCAAAGAGCATAAAAATAAAACTTTTGAAAAGGCCATTTCTCAAATCGATGCGAATCTTTGCGAAGAGCTCGTAATGGTACAAGACTCTCAAGGAAAAGTCTCCAACTAATCCATGCCGTTTTTGTTGATATTTTGTCTATATGTAGAGTTCGACGAGATTAAAAAAAACTTAAAAGAATAACAGCCCATAGGCTTTCCTTCTCAAGTTATGATCATTTTACTTGGTTTACCACCTAGGACAAGGAATGCAGCAAAAAATCAAATTGAGAAATTTCGATCTGAAATTTTGTCCACATGCAAGTCTTATGGCCTATATATTAGCCTAAAAGTTCCAGTCAAAACAAACGCCTCTTTCTCGAAATATTGCGTTATCAAGAAAACATTACCATGCTACATACATGTCAGGAAAATCGACTTCTATGGAAAAATCAATATTTCACGACAGAAGTATTTGTTTTGACTGCAACATTAAGCCTAATATATAGGTCATAAGACCTGCATGTGCACGAAAGCTGATTTTTCACTGAATCCCTTGTCATAGGTGGTGAAGCAAGTAAAATGATCATCATTCGAGAGGGAAAGCTTATGCGCTGTTATCTTTTTAGGTTTTTTTCTAGTGTCATCAAACTATACATCTGCGCAAAATATCAACAAAAACGGCATGCATCCGTTGGAAAACTTCTTTATTCAGTAACTTTGATGTTAACCTTGTAGAATTCTAGTCTGTAGTCGACTTACTAATGATCAAAGAGCTAGAATGAAGTGAGTCGTACAAGAGTGCTCCTCGAAATAGGATAAAAAGTAAAATCAATGGCTGGTTCGAAGGGATTGGAAATTTTCAAAATACAAGTTACAAGGAGACGCTATCTATCTATCTTGACATGAGGGCGTGAAGAGGCCTGACATCATTCACGCCAACTTTAACCATTAACTTTACTGTTTCACATGATCGACAAGGTTTTTAACTCGAAGAAGGATGAAGGCATGAGGGTTTGACTGTGGGTGTGGGTGTCAGTGGACGTGGGCATGCGTGGTGAAGAGAAGACTCAACCCACACCTACATCCACACCCATGCCCACCCATACCCGCGCCTACATCGACACCCACAACCACATTCACGTCACTCGCTTCCGCTCTCACAGCCACACCCACACTCCCACATAGCCATTCACTACTCATAATTACAGCTGTACTAACCCATATCCACGCCTACCTGGAACTGTAGTCACAACCGCATCCACCAGCATCAATCCACACCATACACCTACAGCCATACCACCCATACTCACATTCGGAAATCCATCTACCTAGGCACACACATCCCAACATAAGATCGCACTAGCCTATAAATTTATGATGATGATACCTCTACTTATTGTGTTTGTATCGTTCTTCTTGCTATCTCATTCTTCTCATTATATTTACTAATGCTTAATTTCTTCTTATCTTCTATTGTCAATCTCATTTTATGGGGACAATAAAAGTTAATATAAAAAAAGAGCAAACTAAAGTTGGAAAGAATAACGATAAGATAAATGATGTTGTTGCCTTTTTTTCTTTCGTTTGCTTTTGACAAGCATATTTTCAATTGAAAGTAGGTAGGGTTTATCTTTGAGTGTCAACAAAAAAAAATACGCACCCATATTTGACGTCATAGAATAATCTAGAAAAAAACATCCAATATCGAATATATAAATAGAAAACAGTGGTCTCTATCCAAACAACAATTGATCCTTCACAATATTCAATCGTCGAGCAAACGTCAAAAATAACATCGAAAATGAGTAGACAACGACGACTACGAATGACTGAAAATTACCTGGTCATCTGGGTCGACAGCAATATCAACATGGCAAATGAAGATTGCCAGAATACACTCGCGCAATTGCGCGGTGTTGTTAATCAAGTCAATCCATGCACCACGGCCGAACAATGTATGCAGAAACTCCAGGAAAACAATGAGGAGACATCATTTGTCATCTCCTCAGGTGCATTAGGACAACACCTGGTACCAGAAATTCATGGCATGCCAAAACTGGATGCCATATATATCTTTTGTGGCAACAAACAACGCCACCAAGAATGGGCTAAAAATTGGCCCAAAATTAAAGGTGTGCATACATCAATCAAGCACATCTGTGGAAAATTGGCACTAGCTGTCAAACAATGCAATCAAGATCAAGTAACAGTCAGTATTATCGGTGTCAATGAAGGAGGTTCTAGCGAAAATCTCAATCAGCTAGAGCCTTCCTTCATGTACACTCAAATATTCAAGGAAATACTCCTTGATATGGAACATGGCCAAAAAGCCGTTAAAGACTTGGTCACATATTGCCAAGAACAATACGAAGGCAATACCAAAGAACTCAAGTTAATCAATGAATTTCAACGTACTTACCATCCAACGTTGGCGTTATGGTGGTATACACGACAATGCTTCACATACAAAATGCTCAATCGAGCATTAAGAACATTGGATGGTGACATTATCATCCAAATGGGATTTTTCCTGTGTGATGTTCATCGACAAATTGAAGAATTACACAACCAACAGGTCAGTCAATATCATGGAAAGTCCTTTATAATTTATAGGGGCCAAGGATTATCGGCAAGCGACTTCGAGAAACTTGCAAAAAACACAGGTGGTCTAATATCTTTCAACAATTTTCTATCCACCAGTACAAAACGAGATGTTTCCCTCGGTTTCGCCAAAGATGCATTAGGAGCAACCGATATGGTCGGCATCCTCTTTCAAATGACAGTAGATCCTACTGTCTCATCGACTCCTTTCGCCTCCATCCAGGAGGTGAGTTATTACAAGGGCGAAGAGGAAATTCTCTTCTCCATGCACACCGTCTTTCGAATTGGTGAAATTCGACAAGTTGACAAGAAAAATCCACTTTATCAAGTGGACCTTAGACTTACGTCGGATGATGACCAACAACTTCGTCAATTAACCGACCGTATACGAGAAGAAGTCGACGGCACTGGATGGGATCGAATGGGTCAATTGCTGCTCAAAATAAGTCAATTTGACAAGGCTGAAGAATTATATACAGCACTACTAGAACAGACATCCAACGACAGTGATAAAGCACATATCTATCACGAGTTAGGTATAGTGAAATCGCAACAGGGTCAATATGAAAACGAAATTATGTGTTACAAAAAATCCCTCGAAATCTATCGGAAAACTCTCCCGGAAGATCACCTTTCATTAGCTAATACCTACAATAACATCGGTCTTGCATATAACAACATGGGTGGCTACTCGAAAGCACTTGAATTTTACGAAAAATCACATAAAATCTTAGAAAAAGCTCTGCCTCCGAATCATCCCGATTTGGCTACTTCCTACAACAACATCAGTCTCGTGTGTAACAACATGGGTGACTACTCGAAAGCACTTGAATTTTACGAAAAATCACTTAAAATAAGAGAAAAAGCTCTGCCTTCGAATCATCCCGATTTGTCTCAATCCTACAACAACATCGGTGGAGTATATGACGGCATGGGTAATTACTCGAAAGCACTTGAATTTTACGAAAAAGCACATAAAATCTACGAAAAAGCTCTGCCTTCGAATCATCCCCATTTGGCTACTTCCTACAACAATATTGGTTTGGCGTATTCCGACAAAGGAGACTACTCGAAAGCACTCTCATTCTTAGAAAAGGCACTTTCTATCTGGCAAAAATCACTTCCACCTAGCCATCCTCATATTCAATCGGTGAGAAACGCGATTGACAATGTAAGAAAGAAAATCTAATTGTTGTTTTATTTTCTTAATAAATTTATTCACATTTCTAATCGTTTCGATTTTTCTCGGTTCATTTTGGCTTATTCGCGCGCGCGCGACAAGGGAGAGATCCCTTGTCAATGCCATAGGTACTATAGGCAGACCACGCCGGACTGGTAGGGCAATGGCCGAAGGTATGCCGTATGAGCAGTAGGGACCAACGACACATAGAGGCCTTCCCTAGCACTACACTGCTTCGCTATGGCACGAAAGTTTCTGTCCCTATTGAATCAGACAACGTAGTTCTCTGACCCACACTAATAACATTCATAACTCAACTCAACTCATCTCATCTCAAAACTACTCATACTCATACTCACAATAACTGACAGTATTTATTTTTTCTCGAAATAAGTTATCTCAACTCAACTCAATATGTAAAAAAATGTTTGTCCTACCTCTCAATGATATATGATATCGTAGCTCATCTAAAAGAAAGTAATTTTAAACATAAAATGAATTACTTTAATTTATTCCCTCTACTGAAAGGAGGGTCATACGCCGAATGAGTTAGCTACATTTGTTCGTAACTGCGTGCGTGCGTTCGTTCGCTAATGTCTCCAATGATGAGGTGTGATATTAGAAAACAAATACCCCAAAGATTTGATCAAAGGTAATCGGGGTCGGGGAATTCGAATCCGTGATTAGTTTTTTGAAATTTTACATTTTGAGTGTTTTAGGACAAAGAAGGGCTTTTTTATAAAAAAAATGATTTTTTATAAAGCTTGGCCAATGGTTATCGGGTCGAGGAATTCGAATCTGTAATCGGTTTTGCCCAAATTTTTACTGTTATTTTTTTGGAACAAAGTGGTTTTACAAAAAGTTTCGTACAAAAAAAATCATGTTTTTATCGAAAAATTTGTTTTTTTAGTGGAAAAAATTTTTGTAAATCCACTTTGTTGCAAAAATGACAGTGAAAAATTGGACAAAACCAATTACAGATTCGAATTCCTCGACCCGATTACCTTCGGTCAAACTTTATTGAAAATTGATTGTTTTTGTAAAAAGGTCTTTGCTGGATAAAAAAACGAAGCTCAAAATTTTGAAAAACTAATAATAGGTTAGGATTCCTCGACGCCAATCACCTGTGGTCAAATTTCGTAAAAAATCAGTTTTTTGACAAAAAACAACCTGTCAGGATAGGTTACCGGTTTGAACGGATAAAACGGTGACGGTGAAGCAATGATTCACTGTCACCGTTGCATCCCTAGCAGTGAACTGGTGCCAGTGAGCCTGGTCAAACCTGCAACTGGCGTATCCCTAGTACGAATTTATTCTGTGTTGTTGAAGCATAACAAGCATTTAGTACTGTTAGCGCTAAATCAGTTTACTTCCACGGAGCCACGTTGAAACTATTTTTTTTCTTTGAAACTATTTTGTGAGCTTTAAAAAATATGGAAGACATGTGCAGTTTAGTGGAAAAAGATGGTCGCACGTTAATATGGAACAAAATCTTTACATCGTTTGTAGCAATTTTTATACGCCCTTTGTTGGTGGAGTAGTTCCCGATGATATGTATCGAAATTTTGAAGAATTTACCGAATTCAAGAGAAGCTGTGTAAAGTTTTTAGGAAGAATTTAGAGCATGAACCATGCTCTAAGTGTTCGAAAGAGTTTGCACGAAACGCTTCATGCTTTTGTAAACTACGAAATGGTTTCAAATTTTTCTTACGAAACTAAATTTTTAATGTGAGCTTGGCTCGAGGTTGCATGTTCCTTATTCCAATGAGATGGAGATTCAGTTCAATATTAAAAATCTGAGTTCAAAGCAACTCGATCTAATTAAGTTTGTGAAAAAAGCTCGTCCTTGAGATGATCTTTGCTACACTCCAACAAAATAGTATGTGTCACTTGGTTCTCAGATCATATATTGATTTAGCTCATACATGTTCTATCATTGATTGTAAATGCTGCGGACGCTTGCATCTACTCACTTTTCTGAACGTGCTAACGTATTCATAAAGTATTTATTTTAATAGATAACTTATAGAAAGATCATAAATCAGTGACAGTATAAAGCGTAAAAAAATTGAAACGAAACATGACGTAAATAATACATATCTCGTTGTTAATAGATTACGAAGAAACGAGAGTTCTAGTAAAATACACATGGTCTATACATACAAAGCGAAACGTTTTCGAGTGCTTTTTGCAATTGTGTCTAATCTATTGAGTTCTTCCATTTGTGCTGCTGATGGCTTCACTTGTAGAGATGAGAGTTCGAATGGACGGACAATCAGTAGATCATCGAGTCGTTTAACGCGAGGTAGTGGAACGTAGATTGATACGACTTCAACTGGACCAGATGGCATGACGAGATTGATGATAATTTTTCCTAGCGTTTGACCTTGACTTTTGTGTGTCGTGATACTGTAGGCGGATATTATAAGAAGAGCTTTACGCTTGATCGAGATTTTCATTGTTCTTTTGGTGATTTTCGCGGCTTTTGCGATATTTTCAGTAAGAAGTTCTTTGACATCAAAGAGGAATGTTTGCTCACTAATGGATATAAGAATTGTTTTGGGCTGAAGTTCAGAATCAAGCTTTCAATTTGGAAACTCTATCAAACCGTACTTTGGTTGCGCTATAAACTTGGCATTGTTTGGAAAATTGTTTTGATGCAATTCAACAGCTTCAGAAGATTATTCGTATACGAGTTGACGAAATATTCTACGTGTACCATTTGAAAATCCGAGCTCAATCGCAATATTTTCTGTGAATAAAACTGACATCCCCAGGACAAACGGTAAATAATCTGGAAGATGGTCCGTTTTATTATCCGGCAGTGCAAGACGCGCTTGACGTAATTGTACATCTTCTATGTTTTTCACTTGAATATAATCTTGAGCAATACATATGATTGGTCTAATTCCCATCTCCATTGCTATATTCAGTACAGCTCTATTGTTTATTTCTGTACGAAGTGCGTTCCGAAAAACTATTATTGGAATCTATAAAAGAAAATTTGGATGACGTGTAGAAAAGAGTGAGTGAACCTACTTCGTTCCATGGCTTTTGTTGTAAAGATGCTTGAAGATTTGGAGTTCCTATGATACGTGTACAAAGAAGTTGATAATCTTCAATCATTGATTGTCCTTTTCTCAATCGGTTTAGAAGCTCCAAATATCGCACGTCTTCGGTTCGCATTTACTGGTTTAATTCAACAACGCAATTAATTTGACATGTAAGTTTCTACGCGCACATCATATCTATTTGACGTTCGGTATATCGCTGTGGTGTTGCGCAGCTGTGATAAAGAGGTTTATCCAACACTGAAGAATATTATAAATAATCACCAAACAATATTACATTTACACCTCCGAAAGGAACTTCTGAATTTGTATGTTTTGCTGTTTTTACTATTCGATTGAGTCGAGCTAATAGACTACGTTCTATCATGCTCATTCCATCGATTATCAAGTATTTTACATGACACCATTCATTTTCCAAATTGGTGTCGCCAGGTCAGAATGTTCGTGTTTGCCTCTTTTTTGGAATTTTCGCGACATTCGTCTAAAACCGAGTGTATAGTTAACCCATCAATCTCTGCCGTTGCTATAGATGTTGGTGCCAGTTTCCGCAGCATTTTGCCTCTCTTCGTCACTTGAAAATAGTTGGTAATTGCATGAATCAAATGAGATTTTTCTGTACCACCGCAACCAGATACATGCATCGGTAGCTGATTGTTGATAGTGCCTAAATAATTATGGCTAACGATAATTCTCAGTTACAAAATCGAGAAATACATACCGGTGTGAACTTGATTCACGTCATCTAGATGGCTTGTAACGATCATAAAAGCATACTTCTCCTGACTATTTAGTGTGAATTTTTTGATGATGTCCATTTCTGTTGGTAATGAGACTGCTTTAGTCGCAGTCACACGTGGTAGTTCGGTAATTTGCACTTAGAATAGACTTGTTGGTATTCCAGTAGTTACTATTTCAATATGCGTTTCATCATCTTGTACTTCTAAAGTTTCTTCACCTAAAATTAAACAATTTTTTGCTTTATCTGTTCTGGTTTCAATGTCATGTTTCCACTCTTTAATCATTACTGCATGATGTGAGCCAGCTACGACGAATGTGTTGAAGTCATTTACGGTATTATAGTTATTTTGGTTCGTATGTTTTTGTGATCTGAGGAAAAACTAAATGTATACGAAGTGCGGAGTTAATAAACTCACAATTCAGTAATGCAAATCTATCTGTGTTATCGATTGCTTGTAATTTATCATTTAGGTAACGTTGCTCTTGGTTACTGGTTGATGCAGAGTAAGCATTTGTGATGGTCTTATTTACGATGGAGAGCATTTATAAAAGCTATTCAGGATCGTCTTCTTCAGTATTTTTATCTTCTTCATAGGAGTTAGGGATCAGAATAGGATCAATGTTGCTGTTACTTTTTGCTTCTAAAAGAACTTGATGAAGGTGCTCATCTCGATCGTGTTTGCATTCATGCAAAAGTTGTATATTTTCTATAATTTTGAGTGAACTAGAAGAGATCAATGGTTTTCGAACTTCCAGTGCCTCAGACCATGTCTGATTTAGTGCACAAAGATCGTGGACTGATCTCCATGGCATGAATAAAGTTAACAATGCATGACAATAACGCTCGTGTATTTCTTCTCGTTCGCGATGGGGTATTGGAGGACCAAGCAGAACTGGTACCACTGGAGTGGTACGTTTAATGATGATATGTAATGATCATTGTGGATGTATACTTTCAAATGTGTGTCGTTCGTTTATTTTTGTTCCTTCGGTATATAATCGTTCGCCTTCATGCCCATTTTCATTCTTTGGTAAACGGCGTCTGATTTGTCAATAACCTTCTTGGGAAAATGATTGATAAAATCATATAAGCATAATGCACGTAGATCTTTTGATCAATGCTAATAGTCCAGATGAGTGTTTATCATGACATACCCGTCACCGCTTTTGATTTTTGTTGGCTCTAATAGAAACTGTTCTTCAGTTTCTTTTGTATCTTCACCTTGTTCATCATAGAAGAACGTTAGGATCTCTAGAAAAATTGCTTATTAAATATCTATGTAATCATTTTTAAAACTTTTTACTATCAACTTGCTGCTGCTCAATAGATTTGACTCCTTGCTGCGTAAGGGCAAACATATCATAGAAGGCTAGAGTTGACTCTGTTACATAATCGGTTATATAGTACCCTAAAGCTTTAGTGTCGTTACCATTCTAGATGAATTTAATATCCATTTTGGATCGGCAAGCATTTAAGAGCCACTCATTGAAGTTGTCGATCCACGGATGTGATAGATGCATAGTTATCTGACCTGCACAAGGATCGATGTTGGAAGTCTTCATGAGTACACGTGGCATACGCATTCGACAAGCTTTTGAACCATTGGACTTGTCTTTCGAGTATTTATAGCATGTTGCAGAATGCTTATGAATGTTGCATGTTTCAACTAATCACACTATATCTTTGCGAAAAATACGATGGAAGTCATCTAACACAGGATTTGACGTTGGTTGACAGGCCGGTACAACTTCATTCGTTATCGGCCAAGTTTCTTCTAAAATCAAGATAGAAGCAAAATTAAGGATATACTAAAAGCTACAAACTCACGAATTGATGCACTGTTATCGCTTGCTGTACTGGTTCCATCGTCGCTTTCATCTTTAAAAAGAATGGTCAAATTTAAATGTGCAAATGATCTAATGCAGTTATTATGATTACTAAGAATCTGCAATTCGAATTAAACGCATTTTGGATTATCGAGAATTAGTTGAAAGCTCAACTCTAGGCGAAAGCAACGATAACGTATTCTCAGGGTATAAAATTTCGTCAAATAGGCAAATGCAAATACTTCAAATCACAAATTCGAACAGTGCTAAACGTATTACCTCGAAATGGATCTAAATCTTCTTTTACAACATCTTCTAAATATTTTAGTAAATTTTCACGAAAATCTTGGTTTTGAACCTTTTCTTTTAATTGTGCTGGAGTAAACTCATGATTGAGTCAAATTTGAAGGTGTAAAGTGAAGCGAGTCTCTGCCTTGATTTTCGACAGTGCCGAAATATGCTTTTGTAGGAACAAGTACACTACCGAGAACAAGACTTTTCAAGATGCTTTTTATTAAACAGTTAAAGAATTTTGCAGTAGCAGTAGGATGTGTTGCGATAATTTGAGTATGTTCATAATTTGTACCCAATACTTCTGGCAGAACTTTGTCAAGATTTAGATCAACACCTGCAAAATAAATGCCACTGGACTATGTATGTCGGCTGGATTGATTGGTAGGAAGAGAGTTGGAAGACCGAGATTAAAACACAAAGAATGAATTTTCATACGAAGAGTCGATCGCGAATGAACTGAATCCATAACATGACCACCAACCACTTTGATATGCTTCATGAGCATATTTGTTCTTTCATTAGTAACTTTGGAATAAGGCGCTTTTGAAATGTTGACAAGGGCCGTTGTTACATCTTCAGAACTCAATAATTCAAGAAGTTGTGCGGATTGCTGAAATTACAGCCTTGATGTCATTAATTGGGCATGGAAGCACGCGATTCGGCGTTGTAAAATATTGAAGACAACAAATATGAATGAGTAGTGTTCTTCAAAACGATGATCTCCGTACGAAAGAAGATATCTGAGATTTTCACGAAAATTAATTTGGACTTGTCGAGAGTAATCTTCAAGTGCATCACATCCATATGGAAAACATATAGGAAAGATACCCAAAAAAAGATTTGGATTAGAATATTCATTGGCCGATTTGTTACCACGAGAAATTATGTATATAATATCTTGTTCAACGTTTTCGTCGATGTCTTTTTTCAGCGTTTTATCACCCATTTGTACTTTTATTCATTCTAAAAGATGTTCAACAACGTCATCAGACGAAATTTTGGTACCATCAACATGCAAGATAGTACTACAACACAAGCAATGGTAGATACGAATATCAATGCCTTTTTGCTTTACCTCGCAATCATTGGTATAGCTGTTGTAGTGTTGGACTCAGATGCATTGATCAGAGGATTAAGAATATAAGCTGTTCTTTCGTTTTCAACCGTTTCTACCTTAGCGAAAATTTCCATTGTTGCCCAGGAACATTCGGGGACATCATTCTCAAGTAATTTATTGGTTGTTGTTGATTGATTAATTGTAATATATCGATGGAGTAGATTGTTTGGGCTAAGTCATTTAAGTGCATCAGAAACCTTTGTTTTTTGAATAGTCAAAATATTTTTTTAGTTGACCTCTTTGTGGAGTGAGACAATTAACAAAAATAATTTTTAGAGAATCACATAGATCATCTAATTCTGATGGCAGGGTAGTAGCTATGTTAATAACATATTTAGGAAAGCTTATGTAGTTACCTTTTAAAGTTGATTTAGCTATGCTTATCGAATGAAAAGACGAATATAATTTCACAATGCAGCTGTTGTGTTGGTAGAGAGCAATAAGTCTTTGCTCGGGAATGGTTAGTCCTTGTAATTGTTTTGTCATATCTCCCATTCATACTTTATTGGTAGCTGAAAACTTGCGTAATTTTTGCTTTCACCACGAACTACCAACATTTTGTACAAATGTCGCAGTATACCGAAGATTGTCTCGTTTTGTCAAAAGTTTTATGATATCCTGCTTTATAGAGAAATATACTGTTTACCCAAGTAAATGATTGATCATCCATTGATGATTTTATATTCCTATCTATAATAAAAAAACCTGATTAATCTTGCTAGTTTAACTATTACAATGATTCAGCTGCTTCTCTTTCGTCTCGATCGAAAGCTAAACCAAGATCGTCATTCTTGTTAAACTTATCTTTTGAATGGAACTTGCTCGTTCATTGCATAATAGAAATTATGTCATAAAGATCATTATGTACTCTGAGCAATTCAGTCGATGGAATTTCGCACAATGGTATGTGTCAGAGGTTACTCTTATAGTAACGAATATTACAAATGCCACAAACATCCTCTGCTAAAAAACTCGTCGACATATGTCGACTGAAGTTTTTTGAGCAGTTAACCGTGCATTCCATTTCAATAGGTTTTGGTTATCCAGTGTCGCTACTTTTAGGATTTTTGTTTCTATCAGTAACCGTTTGTGTATACACATTTTTCTGAAGGCATTTTCTCTTACGAGCCACTGCTTGCTGTTGCTCGACTTTCTTCCGGTGCATAGGCAGCGCGTATTTCAGTACTACTCCTGCAAGCTAGTACACTCACTTTTTCAGTTTCTTTTGGTGATATAGTAGCTCGTTTAGTCATACTCCTCCCAAGAGCAAGTGCTTGCTGTTGTTCGATTTCTTTCACTGTAAAAGTAATTCGCCAAGCTGCAGTTTTCTCACGAATTAATACTCGTGATTGTTTGATTTCGTCTACTGGGGGTGTGGGTATTAATTGTAATACCCACACCCACGCCCTTCATTTCTTGTTGATGAATACCAGTATTTTAATTGAAAATCATACATTGAATTTAATTTTTAAACAAATTCACTGCATTTTTTAATCAATATGTCAATTTTAATCAATGAATTTGAAAAAGCATCAATTTTATGTTCATTTCATCATCAAAAATTCAATTTTTCATGCTTTTTGCATAGATTTCAAGATTTTAATGAATATGTTTTTATTTTGAAGTTACTTGATCTACACAAAAAGAGTAATTATATGGATACATGGTGTTCTGAAAAGCATAGTTTACTAGTATACTCTATTTCAAATTTTCGTTGAACACATCGAATGACACTCTAATTTAAGAACTCTCATTCTGATAAGATTCTTTGAAGCTCCATATAATTTTGTCACGATTTCACGCAGCCCACGGGATAGGATAGAGCAGATTTTGTTAACTCATTAGACAAAAAATTAATTCCATCCAATGTCATCCTGAGTGTGACATAGAAACTACAGGATGAACGAGATTTTCGCTGTATAACTGCATTAGGAACAACCAATCGAGACCAGACTACTGCTGGCAATTAGGTTTAGCCCTGACTCGCACATTCCTAAAACATCAGCCCACTATTATCTATTTTTATGCTTGTTCACGGAAAATACCTTCTTTTGTTGAGCGCTGTAGTGATTTAGCGAAATGGATAGTAACTTATACTTTATAATCAAATCAACGTACTTGACATTCTGCTAGTTAAGAATTTTCTCTTTTGATTAGATCTTTTCAATACCCAGGTCGAACATGCACGCTCGTAAACGGTCGTTTACGGAGAAAAACGGAGATATACGGAGGTCGTGCACGGCTTCCGCATACGATGCGCGTATACGGAGCGATACGGTGAGAAACGGATTCCGTAAACGGAGATCGTATAAAAATACGGAATGATTAAAAGATAAACATGTGTACTCCGTATACGGAGCTATACGCCTGCCGTATACGGTCGTATATCACCGTGCGCGATCGTATCTGGTCGTATACGGCTACCACAAGCGTACAATTCAATGAACAACACGTTTTGTGCAACTCACACATATTTTTCGAAGAAAAATAGTGAGTATAAGTTTAAATGCGAGATCTTCAGGCGCATCTTCCCTCATTACAGGCCTTAGCAGCCATGGTCGAAGGTTAAAGAGCGCTGGACGCAAATTCTGCCATAGTAACCGACATCTAACAAGCATTAGACTCCTTTCCCATGATTCCTTAGCAACGGAAAAGAGTACTGAACGGTGTTAACAAACACGGCTCAGATTGTCCTAGAACATTTCAAAGCTTTTCTTGAAATTTAAACGGCTGGGCTATGTTTTTGAATGTTATATATAGCACAGTTTCTGATTTTTGCTCAAATTAACGAGTATATAATACATATCAAAGATGAATGATGACTGGTGATGTATCGATTTACTACGATCGACATATGAGCAACACAAAAAGTATTAATTGATCAAATTCTAACTTGAGAGAACCATCGAAACCAGTATTTTATGAGTTTATCAAGGTCCATAGTAGTGCGTTGAGACCTGCCGCAGATACAATGACGATGTACAACCGGCTAGTTTCTTAAATAAATCATTGGTTAGAACAAGAACAATAATAATAGTAATAATAATAGTAAATTAGGAAAAACGAAATAAAAAAAAATAAATCACAAGCGAATGACAACAACGCAAATAAATAATGAAGCGCCAGTAAAAAAAATAAAAGAAAAAAATTCTGTTAGAAACGCAGAAATAAATAAGACAGATCGATTCTCTAAGGATCGATCATTCTTGAAAAGCAACTATTATCTGTTAGATATTATTCACTTTGCGTATTTTGTATTGTTATGTTGAAGCTAAAGAAGATATGAAGTCCATGACAAATCTCAGTAAAATCACCACTAGAATTCTGCTCCCAATAACATATAAATAGATAGATAAAGGTTTGTCTAAAAGTTTTGGTATCTCATAGAAAAATTTCTTTTCTCTCTCATAACAAATAAAAAGGGTCAAAATTGGACTGATAGTCAAGCAGTACCTAATGAGTATCAATATAAATGTTCACAACTATAGCTTAAGTTATAGTGAAGATATATAACTTCAAACTAAAAGATTTTTTTTTTCGCATCATCTAATTAAGTAGCCGGTGCCCATGATAAACAGTCGTATTTTGTATCGTTTTTTCTCAGTTTCTAATATGTTTGTTGAAAAAAAAATATTAGAAGATGGAGCATCAAAAGATCTATAATCTATAATAGAAAGCTTATTTTATATATGGTCTTTTAGTTTTCAAAATCAGCAGATTTCGAAGTGAGTGAATTCTGATGTTGCGAAAAAGTTATTTTTTATACATGATAAATTCTTTTTTTCTTTATTTTCTCTTTTTATCATTCTCATCGATTTTGAACACTAAAAGACCATATATAAAATAAGCTTTCTATTGTAGATTGTAGATCTTTCGACGCTCCATCTTCTCATATATTTTTTTTCAAGAAACATATTAGAAATTGAGAAAAAAAGATAGAAAATACAACCGTTTATCATGGACACCGGTTACTTGATTAGATGGTACGAAAAAAATATTTTAGTTTGAAGTTATGTCTTCACGACAACTTGAGCTTTAATTGTGAACATTTAGAGTGATACTCTTCTGATATTGCTTGACTATTAGTTCAATTTTGAGCTTTTTTTCATTTTTTATAAGAGAGAGAAGGGAATTTTTCTGTGAGGTACCAAAACTTTTGGATCAACCTTTAGACAGATAGATTGAGAAATACATAGATAGTTCGATAGATAGTTAGATAGATAGATAGTTACGTAAATAGTTAGGTAGATAGATAGTTAGGTAGATAGATAGTTAGGTAAATAGTTAGGTAGATAGATAGTTAGGTAGATAGATAGTTAGGTAAATAGTTAGGTAGATAAATAGATAGATAGGTGAATAGGTCGATAGATAGATAGGTAGATAGATAGACAGATAGGTAGGTAAATAGATAGTTAAGTAAATAGTTAGGTAGACAGATAAGTAGGTAAATAGATAGTTAAGTAAATAGTTAGGTAGATAGATAGTTAGGTAGATAGATAGATAGATAGATAGGTAGTTAGGTAGATAGGTAGGTACGTAGGTATAGATAGGTAGGTATATGTCCTAGTGATAATATCACTGATGTGCGTGTAATTAAAGGTAAAAAGGTCAATATTTTTCCCACGCACGGCAAAACACGATCGTTTACGGCCGTTTACGAAAAAAAATACGGTCGTTTACGGCCGTAAATGCTCCGTATACGACCTCCGTTTTTCTCCGTATTTCGCCGTATACGGCCACGGAGATATACGATCGTAATACTGGCCCATGTAATACGGTGAAATACGGTCGTATACGGAGCGTATATGGTATGTATACGGTCGTGTACGACGTCGTAAACGATCGTTTACGGAGTTCGTAACGCTCGACCTGGGTAGGTGAGATGCATTCACACATGTAGTAGGAAGAATCTAAATTCATTAGTGCCAAATAGTATTGTCTCATGATCGCTCGCTAAATTACACATAAAACGAAAAATAAGCGTTAGATAGTTAGCATTACCAAGAGGTTACTTTACTAGGTAATCTTAAAAGATTCTTTATCACCGAAGTAAGCTAGCGATGGACTAAATATCGAATATTATTGCTAGTCATGTTGGATTGACGTGTCTATTCAGAGTCTGAAAAAACCCTCCTCCTGGATTAATCTGAAACCTCCTATATCCTGGAATCTCATCTTTATTCTATCATTGACAGACGGCAGTTTACATATCAGCTGCAGTCTTTTTCTGGAGAGAGATTCTTCAAGGACAGGTTCAACATCAGTTAGATATTAAATTATCATCTAGAATGCAGACTAGTGCTAGACAAGGACTTTTTGAGACTCTGACTAAACACTTTGAGACGCCATGACTCTCATCAGAAAATGATTTGAAACTGCCAAAAAGAAGCGTGTTGGATACGGTTCATACGATACGCTCCAATGAGATATATTTGACTAGTCCGAGTAAGTCTCACATTAAATATATTATGAAGTAGAAGATCAGATTTGAACAAGCGTATAATGTTTTACTTATCTGTCATTTAAAGAATTGAATCAAACAGATGATAAAACTCCTTCTATGCCTCAATAAATATTTGGAGTAAGGATTTCATATGATTTAGAATTTTTTAAAATTTCAATACCTAGAAAAACGCTTATTTTAGAACACAATTAGGCGGATGAACTTCA